TAGCTTTTTAATCATGGCCCTAATTACACACCATAATCACATGGTGTGATGTTGAGTGACGTAATTTAAAACGTACTATTGCATGTAAAATCTATTTTCATAGTTTGCTTACAACTTTTGTCTCCTGTGGAATTAAAACCTTTTTCAGTGTTTTCAATTACTTTTCCATGCAATGATTCCTATCTGGTAATTACCTGCATAATTTACTGATAATCAATTTGTCTTGAGGTAAAATAGATTTCTGATGACATTGCTCAATGATTCAGTGAAATTACTATCCTGGCTCAGCCAACCGTAACTCAATTGTATGTCTATAATATACAACTAAACGGATGTAAAAGACAATTTGAAATAGCAATCATCTCTCAATAAATATTCCCCTTTCATGGTTAAATCTTTCATATATTTCTATTTAAAATGACAAGATATTCAAATAGTTGTATTAAATTTGTTGTGCAAATTAGGTCAGGTAAATTAAATTTACAAACATTGCAAATGCTCTTGTGCAGTGTATATAAAGTACGTCGTACCAAGACTATCAAGTTAACTCGTAAATTCTCCCCCCAGGTCTCCTTTCTTTGTTGTTGTGATCAGTGCTGTGTTAACACTGTATTAATTGATGACAATAGCGATGAAATACAATTCTATTGTAGTATATACTATTGGCTGGAACTACTGCATCGTGAGAAAACCATTGAAATGATATAAAAACTAGTAAATTGACATTGGTGCACACCTCACAAGAAGAACGAGTTTTCGGGTTGTATCAACTAGATGTTTTCAATCTCTAATGGCAAAACATATTTAAGATGTTAGAATTAATTTCCTGTTGATGTCTAGCTTACTTGAACAGTACTGAGTTTGTCTGCTTGGGTGTTTATGGATTTGTTTCCAGGTGAAACTTGTTTTCTCTATTAAAAGAACCTTTTTATTAGCAGTACACATAAGACAAAAATTGTCATTACTTATACATTGAATTTGAATTTGAATGGCAACCATCACAGTGAAAACAAAGGCCGAAAACTCTCAGAAAACAGTACTTTGGGATGGTTGTTGAGACATATCTAAATTTGGTTGCTCAGGATTACTTCAAAGTTGAGTTTATGCTGTTTCTTTGAATTAGCCATTTTCACCGTTGTTCCATGGCAGCTCATGTAGAGCCCATGGACATACATGATACCAGTGCGTGTCGTAGCAACATAGAAAGCTCTGTGACGTAGCTCCGCTCCCAAAAATACCTTTTCTTATATATATATATTATACATTCAAATCATCGAAGATCAATAAATTCCACCTAAAAAAAATTTTCAGCAAAAATTAATTCCAGCTAAAATAAAGTATTTTACAGTAATTCACGTGCCTAGGGAGTCACTTGCTGAAGCTGATGAATGAGAGCCACAAGAGTGTTGCCATAAATAAAAACTTTTAATAAGCAATTTCTG